GAGACCCTAACTCAAAATGAAAAATAAGAAAACTACTGGGGATGTAGATTGGCGTGAAGCCCCTGGGATCAATCCCCAGTACTACACACAGGAAAAAATGAAAATATTTATAAAATTCTTTAACCCCTAGCAAGACTGATCACGAAAAAAGAAAGAACACAATTTACCAGTGTTAGCAATGAAGTAATAAACATCAGTACAGACCATCTGGACATCCAAATAATATTAAGGGAATGTAAACAACACTGCATTCATTCAACAAATTGGATGAAATAGGCAAATTTCTTTAAAAATATACACATGCAACCAGATGTGGTGAGGCACACCTGTCATCCCAGCACTCAGGAGGCTGAGGCAGGAGGAGCACTGTGAGTTTGAGGCCAGCCTGGGCTACATAGTGAGACTCTATCTTAAAGAATAATAATAAAATAAAATGAAATACACACACGCTGATTGCAATAAAGAAAACTTTTAAGACCCTGGGAGAGTTGAGCCAGAGGGAGGAGTTCAGAAGAGTTTGGGAAGGCCCCCCAGAAGTGATGTTTAACCTGCAGCCTAAAGAAGGAGGGTGTAACCAGGTTTGTGAAGCGGAGTCTCAGGCAGGCAGAGCGCACGTGCAAAGGCCCTGCCGTTGGGATGAGCTTTGTGCAGGGGGGCAGTCCACTCAGGTGCTGCTTCTGTTGCTCCAGCCTTCTCAGTGGAGAGCCCAGGGGACCCTGCTTGGCTTGAACAGAAACATTTACCCAAGTGAAAGCAAACCTCCCCCATGAGACAGAGGTGTGGAGGTTTTAAAGCCATTTCTCCGCAATTTACCCTGCAAACCGTACGATATCTTCAAATATAGACCTGCTGTTCCCTCTCTTCCCTGTAGCCACCCCTTGGGAGTACTCATACCTTATGAAGTGTTTTTTTTGTTTGTTTTGTTTTGTTTTGTTTTTGAAAGTGGTTAAATTGCCCAGGTTGCACTCAAACTTTCCATCCTCTTGCCTCAGCCTCCTAGAGAGCTGGGATCAGGTGTGCGCCCTGTGCTTCTTTGGGCATTGCATCTCACACCTGATTTCTTTGTCTCTGATGTCCACTACTGTTACCCCGTTCTCCAGAGCAGCTGCTGCTTCCGAGAAGTCAGGTCTTGTCTGAGGTCACAAAGACCAAGGCCTGATCACCATGCTCTGTCCTAAGTTTGTTTCGGTTTTGGCACTGGTCAGATTGTGGTTTTCTAATCTGACATTGGTTTTTCTTTTTCTTTTCTTTTTTCTTTCTTTCTTTCTTCTTCTTCTTTTTTTTTTTTTGAGACAGGGTCTCCCTACGTAGTTCAGGCTGGCCTTGAACTCATTGTGTAGCCCAGGCTGGCCTCAAATTCAAACTCGAAGCAATCCTCCTGCCTCAGCCTCCCAAGTGCTGAGATGACAGGGGGTGTGCACATGGCCCTCAGTCACTGCTGATCTCCAGCACGGGAAGTCTCCTGGAGGGAGGGAAGGAGGAGGCAAACCTTCCATCTCATTCATCTTCCCTCCAAAATGCAGCCACAGGCAGCAGGGCGCAGAGAGGCAGGGGGTGGCCAGCGGCACATTTAGGGAAGGGGTGGGGAAAGAACAGAGTCCCTCTGAGCGCCCCGGTGTGAGTGCAATTTCCTGCCCCTGAGGAAGCACTTGGTTCCGACGAGCCTGCTTCTCTTTTCCCCTCTGTGGCCTCACAGGAGGAGTTGGCGGGCAGCCCCGGACCCTTCGGCCCCACCAGATCCCGGCCTGAGGACGCTGGGAGAGATGCCCTGGGCCATCCTGCTCCTCGCAGCCACAGCCGGTGAGTGTGACAGCTGCCGGGGAGCCCAGCCGCTCGCCCACCCCTCCCCTACTGCTGCTCTGGGGACAGAAACCCAAGGTGGCGACCCCCCCCAGGTGGCAGAGGCCCCAGAGCAGGGCAGATGGGCGCAAGAGCCTTGGAAACGGCCCAGCCCCTGCTGTTGAGGCGCCTCAGCGTCCCCAAGCCAAAGCCTTCAAAGCTGTCAGCCTGCTGCCCTCGCTGTGACTCAGCCCCGGGCTCCGCAGGCTCCCGCTTCAGGGACACTGGCACACAGGGAGGCTGGGTCCGCGCTGCCCGATGTGCTGTGCTCAGGAGCCCATGGGCAGTGGGACAGGCTGGCTCCAGGCACACGGCTGCTCCCGCGGGAAGCAGGTCAGGGTTCCCTGGCTCGGCCCGGGGACAAGGACCCGGCCTCTTCGCTTCTGCTGCATTTCTTGTTTTTCTTCTTCCTCCTCCTCCTTCTCTTCCTCCTCCTCCTCTTCTTCTTCTTCTTTTTGATGTTTGATGGTACTGAAGCGTGAACCCAGAGCACACTGAGCTATGTCCCTGAACCCCAACTTCTTTGTTTGCACCAGGACTCGAACTCAGGGCCTTGTGCTTGCCAGGCAGGTGCTGTGCCACTGAGCTAAGTCCCCGGCCCCCAACCCTTTTTTATATTGAGACAAGGTTTGGCTACCTTGCTAAGTTACCCAGACTGGGCTCTGCTTTGTGATCCTCCTGCCTCAGCTTCCCAGAATGCTGGTGTTACAAACACATATCCCCCACACCCAGCTGATCTCCACCCACTCCTGGGTTTGATCTCCGGCACCCCTCTTCCCCCGAAAAAGGCCCGGAGAGGGTCATTTTGCCCACACAGCTCACTCCTGCACTCTAACTGCACCCCACCCTGCTATCTCTTTATTCTTCCTTTTTTTTCCCTGGTACTTACTGAGGATTGAACCCAGGGCTTTGCCATGAGCTACACCCTAGCCATTTTTTATTTTTTATTTTGTTCTCACTAAATTGCCCAGGCAGGGCTGGAACTTGCAACCTTCCTGCCTCAGCCTCCTGGCTGCGCCTCACAGTGCCATTTCACCTCCCCTTGTTCCGCACCACAGGTTCCTTGGCCATCCCGGCACCGTCCATCTTCCTGGTGCCGCCCTACCCTACCAGCCAGGAGGACCCCGTGCATATCTCATGCACAGCGCCCATGGCTTTCCTGGGGGCAAACTTCACGCTGTACCGAGGGGGACACGTGGTCCAGCTCCTGCAGGCCCCTGCGGGCAAGGCGGGGGTCACGTTCAACGTGAGTGGCAGCTGGAGCAGCGAGGCTCCCAGCGGGCAGTTCCACTGCCAGTACGGCGTGTTGGGCGAGCACAGCCAGCCCCAGCTGTCGGACCTCAGCCAGCCGGTGCAGGTCTCCTTCCCAGGTGAGTCCCCAGGGCCTCCTCCCTCTGCAGGGACAGCTTTCCAGGAAGACCAGGTCCCCTCACTCACTTTTCCTCTGTAGATCCTCAAAGACACCCCAGGAGACAAGGAAACTAAAGCCGGGTGTGGTGGGGCGGGCTTGTAATCTCAGTGCCCTGGGAGGCTGAGGCAGGGGAATCTAAAGTTCCAGCTCAGCCTGGGCAACTTAGAAACTTAGCAAGACCCTGTCTCAAAATAAAATAAAAGGGGATGCAGCGCAGTGCAAAGGCCCTGTGTTCAACATCCAGTACGAGAGAGAGAGAGAGAGAGAGAGAGAGAGAGAGAGAGAGAGAGAGAGTACCCAAAAGGGCTTTTCCAGTCCCCTGGGTAATAGACAGCAAAGCCATTGGCCTCAGCGTCTAGGAATCAAATCTGCACTCTAGACTGCCCTATCCCATCCTGGCTGCATACAATTTTGGGCACCTACTCTGTGCCAGACACTGTCTTGGGCACCGTGGGTTCAGCAGTGAGTGAACCCAGCTGCAGCTGATGTCCCGGGGGTGGGGACAGAGGACAAACGGGACTCAGGAAATATTCAGTCTGACGGGAGCTGAAGGGTGGAACTCAGCAAGGTGCAGGGCATTATTTTAAGTGGAGAGGAAGGTGGACAGGGAGGTCCTCTCCCTCTCCCTCTCTTTTTCTTTCTCTTGTCTTTTCAGTACTGGAGATTGGACCGAGGGCCTTGACCCTGAGCTACATCTGCATCCCTCTATTTTTCTTTTGATTCAGATTCTTGCTCAGTTGCCAGGGTGTGCTCGAACTTGCAATCCTCGTGCCTGAGCCGCCCAGAGCGCTGGGCTTAAAGGCGCGCGCCACCGCGCCAGGGTCGGGGATGTCCTCCTGAGGAGGTAACACCCAAGCAAAAATCCGAATGATGTTAGGGGTGGTGGTACACATCTGTAGTCCCGCTTCTCGGGAGGCCGAGGCAGGAGAATCGCTTGAGCACATAAATTCCGGATCATGAAGCGAAGGTTAGCCTGGGCTACATAGCCCTGTTTCCAAAAAAAAGGTGGGGCCGCGGATTAAGCTCAGTGGTGCAGCGCCTGCCTGGCAAGCGTGAGATCCTGAGTTCTACTCCCGGCACCCAAAAAATAAACAAATAATTTTTTAAAAGGTGGGGGAGCCTCCAGCCTGCTTCTGCGTCACCCACTGCCGAGCACACCTCGCGGGCAGCCACAGCCCCCCGTCCGTGGCGACAGAGCCGTCTCTGTGTCCTTCCGGCCTCCAGCTCCTATGTCAAAGCCTCCCTTCTCCACCTGGGCCTTGCGGTGGCGGAGTGCGGAGGCGACCCCGCCCTGCTACCGTGTGATGAATGAACAAGGCCCGGCTTTGTCAGAACCCCAAGCGCTGTCCCTCCCCTCCTGGCTGAGTGGCTCCGCTCTTGACTAGGGTCAGAGGTCTCTTCCCTGGCGCCCCAAAAGATCCCCTCTGTGTCCTGGGAGAAGAAACTGAGTCTTCCACAGAGAAAAACGCTCGGATAAAATTATGCCCGTCATCAACTCTGCGGACGTTTCCTACCGGCACTGTAATGCTACACAAAGGAATAAACCTCTTTTCCCATTGGCCCATCCAAAGTCCCAGAGTCTGCCTCCATTGGCTCTGCTTGGGTTCCATTCCCATGTCTGAACCAATCACATTGGCCCGGGGTGGGAATATGCTAATTACCCAAGTGCAAGGTTGCTAGGTGACTGGGGTCCGCTACAAGAGCCCAGGGTTGCGGGTCTGTGCAGAGCGCTGGCCCCTCCCAGGTGACATTCGCTTTTCGGATTTCCCCTAGTGCCCACTTGGATCCTGGCGCTCTCCCTCAGCCTGGCTGGAGCCTTCCTCCTCCTCGCTGTGCTGGTGGTCTTTGCGGTGGTGGTCAGGAAAGGTAACAGCACACAGAGAACACAGCACGCTCACACATCGTTTCTCTAGACACGCAGCGCGGTGGCCCGCAAGGTTTTACTCCAGGACTTAGGGGGCAGAAACGGGTCTGGAGCCAGGTGGTGGCAGTGGGCACATAATAAACACCCGTCCGTTGATATCCATGGAAATTATATCCAGGACACCTCACAGATGCCTAAATCCATGGCCGGGTGTGGTGGCACACTCCTGTAATCCCAGCACTCGGGAGGCTGAGGCAGGAGGATCATTGCAAGTTCGAGACCAGCCTGGGCTACAAAGTGAGCTTAAAGCCAGTCTGAACTGGATAGCGAGACCCTGTCTCAAAAAGACAAAAAAAATTGTGTGTGTCCATACTGAACTTGTATAAAGCTTTTTCCTCATCATTATTCATACTACAGCAGCTTTTTTCTTTTTTTCTTTTTTTTTTTTTTTTGTGGTGGTGCTGAGGATTGAACCCAGGACCTTTGCTCTGAGCCACGTCCCCAGTCATTTTCTGTTTTTTATTGTAAGACACGGTTTTAACCATATTCCCTGGGCTGGGGTTAAAATGTGATCCTCCTGCCTTAGGATTTTTTATGTAAAGGATCTGAGCATGCCTGAATTTGTCTCAGGGAGGAATCCTTAAACTAATCGCTCATAGACAGACACTGAGGGGAAGCTGGATACATTTGCAACTGTGGTAAAATATCCACAGCACACACCTGGTGACATTAAGTACATCCATGGTATTGTGAAACTGTCATACCAGCCACCTAGAATTTTTTTCATCATTTTTGGTTGAAACTCAGTGCACATTAAGCAATAGCTCCTCATTTCCTCCATCCTCACCTCCTGGCAGCCAGTGAAATGTGTATTTTTAAAAGAAAAACACTTTTCATGCCGTATGTGGAGGTGCACGCTGTAATCCCAGCACTAGGGAGGCTGAGACAGGAGAACTGTTGTGAGTTCAATACCAGCATGGGCTACAAAGTGAGCTCAAGGCCAGTCCGAACTTCATAGGGAGACCCTGTCGCAAAAAGACAAAAACAAAACAAAACAAAATACTTTTGTCGTTGTTGTTGTTTTTGGTACCAGGAATTGAACTCAGGACCTTGTGTTTGCCAGGTAGGTGCTGTGCTGCTGAGCTATGTC